AACAGAATGGAATTCCCCTCGATATGCAGGCAGTCTAAGGCTTAATCATATATAAAAGCTTTGTTTGAGGAACTTTGTCAAAATACATTCTAAAATATGTCGCCCAAAACTCATATGCACTAATTTGATCATGATTCAGAAAAAGAAAGTGTTGAGAGATATGTAGCAAGCAACTAGGTCTGTTCAGATTCTGGAAATTGTTCTTCACATTCTAATTTTCAATGTCCTTTTTTCACATCCTTTTGTTGTATATCATGAAGCTCAAAAGCAAGATAATATAAACAACAATGACAGAAAGAAGGTTCATCAAGATACTAAAGTAAATTCACACCTGCCATCCGAACTGGAGGTAAAAGATCCTTTGGCTTTCTTGAAAGAAAATAATTGAATTCCCCTACTGTCTTGACAACAATCTATCCTTCAACCAACTTCAGCAAAACAATTTAGTTAGTTATTTATCTCATTACTAGTTGTTAGTTCATGGGGATACAGTTTCCCATATTACAATAGTGACTACAGTTCAAAACACAATCATTGATCATGAACATTTTGGGTTGTATTGAGAATGTGAAAGATGTCATATAAATGCCAATTTTCTTTTTCTTATTATATTCTAAAAGAGTTATTGGTTGAATATTTTTTGTCCACCAGCTTTCCCTTTGGTATTTTTGTAAATAACATAGGTTACATTTTATATCAATATATACATGTAAAAATATATTTGATTATTTTGTTTGTCTGGAAGCTTATTTCATCCATAGTGGGGATTTGAAACATTTTCACTAGAAAAGTTTGAAACTCTCTTCCAAAAGTACCGACACTAGATAAACTACAAGGGTTCAAGAAGACAGTGCACCTTGCAAGGACAGTTTAAATGGACAACAAATGCGAAGCATAAGCACTGGGTTAAGTTCCCAAAAAGTGTAGTGAGGTTTGGAACTTGACAAGGTCCTGTCTACATCCGATTCAACGTCAATTGAGTTGGAAATGAGCTGGGAATGTCCTGTGCAGCTGCTGAGGAAGCAATCCTAATCGGCATTTAACTTTCTATTTAATCCTCCATTCAGGCTTCAACAGTTACTGCACTAGTTTCCCAAGTTCACTGATACAAGTTCACAGTGTGGAATGTTCAACTAATGAGACTGATATGCTGAAGAATGCCTTGAAAGAATGAAACTGTAAAGCATATTGTCAACCACAATGAAACATTTACATTTGCAAGATTAATTCTGAAAGGTTAAAGTCTCTACTTTAAGTATCAGTTTCAACTTTTATAAGTATTGTCAAGTAAAGGAGCTAAGTTGCAAATCGGGAAGCTTGAATGCAGTAATCACTGGATTATTCCCAATACCAAATACAAGAGTAGAAATAGGAGTATAAAACAGATGAACGGCTGACTCAAAAAATGGTGCGGGTGGATGAGATTTGGATCCCTGAGATATTAGGACAGGCTTTAGGGGTTTTGAAGTTTATGCAAGCTGGACAGGTTGCAACTAAACACAACTAGGAATAGTTTCCTGGATGGCAATTTGCAAATGCAATTGGAGAAGATTCAAAATATCTTGGCAGGGATGTGGGAACTGAAGACAAAAATCAGAGAGGAATACCAAGATGCACAGAATACTGAGGGAGACAGATAGCACAAGAATATGAAATAATACATTATAAATGTGCTCGAAAGTAAAGGAGAAAGTAGTAAAGTCTAAATCCAGGTTACTAAACATGCAAATCCATGAAGTAGGGTAACTAAGATTGGTGAGATATACATACACATTGCCATGTAGAACAATGGAGGAGAAATCACATGTATCCTCAGCTTCAATAGTCACAGTGCTAGAAAAATAGCAGGAAACTACATTGGGATGACTTCTCCATGGCTTGGCATTGCTGAACAAATTTCCACAGATAGCTTAGGAACGGGGACAGAAGCCCATTGACCAGTGTTGAACATCTAATCAAGGGGTCTTAAACAAAGTGATTTGAATTTTATGGATGGTGCATGGGAGTTTCAGAGGCTGAGCAGTACAAATGAGGTAACTGCAGAACAGGAGGAGATTGTTATCTGAAACTGACAGACATTAATGTTGCACAGACTTTGCAAACAAGAAAGTTCAGCATCACTATCAGAAGGGAATATGTTTTAAAGGGATTGGTGTGGAAATCAGAAACTAAAAGACTTTCCCCCAGGGCTGCTGTACTGACCCTTTTCGGGTTGAAGACTCCAGTGGATATGAGTGCCGCACACTTAGAGTTCATCTCCCTTATCTCCTCCAGTCAGGATGTTAACTACTAGTCTCTTTTCAGAATCCCTCTTTGCTTTTCTTATTTGCTTTGCCACCTTCCTTCTGAACCTTCTATATTCAGCCTAGTTCTCAGTCGTATTTTCTAATGGACACGCTTTTTCATTTTTATTTCAATTTCTATTTCCCTTTGCATTCTCTTTGCCAACAATGAAGCTAACAAATTTCAGTTCTGGAGGCAGGTGGGCACTAACAATATGTTACCATACCATGGACAGTTGCCACCAATGTTAATAGAAGGATGTTCTTTGAACACCTAAACTTTGGTGGGATCTATTGATCTACATCTATTGATCTCAGAAGTTATAATTTTATTTCACCTGGAAGCATTGTCTGTTTATACAGGATTACAGTTTTAATGTATGATCAAACCAGGACAGAATAAAAAAGTAGAAAATGCTAGGACTATAGTTACACGTAAGTGTTTTTCAATTCACTTTAATTCAGAATAGCAATTATTATTACATACACACCTGAATAACATAGACCTACCACACTGAAAGTGAAAGAAATGTCAAAGCATGTGCCACATTACTGGACTGACACAAAATACTGAGATGAACAAGATTGATTTACTAAAATAAATATCCTTACAAAATTTTGAAAGCATTATTGAATACGGTAGAAAGAAAACACTACTGTCATATAGTAACTGACACCTCTGACACAATGATTAAAATATATCCCTAATTTAGCTTCTTGTCACCAAGATTCATTTTCCTTTTGTCGTGAATGCAGAGAACTTTTGGAATTGTTGTAACCAGAATGCATCCATTAATGTCAGCACTTCCACTACAGCCAAACTGTCATGTTTTCCGTTGCGCTTTAATGGTCACTACATGGTCCGAATCTGAAAATATATTTTTCTTGCATTAACACAATTTATAATACTTCTGTTTTGATGTTTTACTATGTGGAGCTGTTGACCTGTTGTGAGAACAATGTATGGGAAAATCTTATAGAAAGTGTGTTCCTTAAACGTGACCTTTTCAGAAAAAGAACAAATTTCAGTTCTTTGTAAAGCTATTTGTAACATGTTTGAGCTCTAAAAGACAAGATATTTTGCAAGTCTGAATAAAATGTGCCAGAATAGGAAAAGGATAAGACAATTTACATTGGATGTATGCAACCGTCAATGCAATCCAGCAAGCATTTCTCAGGTGTCTTAAGACAAGCATTTCACAAAATGAAATAAAAAGCAAATGTCATTTTCCAACTACATATCGTTTTGTTTATTTTGTGTGTGTACTGTTTGTAACAAAGATCTTTTACTATTTTGTACTTTTGTAACAAATGTGAATACAATATTGTAATAATGATCCCAGTACTAGAGAAGCTATACTTTCATTGTTACTGTGATAAAAATACTGGCACAAATTTGATTAATACCACAATCACACACATTATATTGCACATAAATAAAATCAGTTGGTAGCAGAAACTTCATTACAGATGAAGTATTCTCTTTGATGCCAGATATCAAGATTTGTTTTTAAAAGAGGCAATATGTATACCTTCTTACGATTGAGTCTAGTATTCTGAACAACATCCGAGTAAACCATCTTCTTAGAAGGAAAAATCAAGAAGTATACTTAGTTATCCAAACTGCATTTAACAATGTTCACAAAACCATACACAAAATTATACTTGCGTAGGCATCAACATTTCTGTACAATTTAACAACAGTCAAATGATGCCTCAAAGCTTATGCCTTTCCTCAATAATTTAAGCACCTAGTAGCTCAGGCATTTAATGAATAAACATATTAATATGCAATATTAGACATTCAATATGAGAGATTAAAAATAACAAGTTGCAGCAGTAATGAGAAAAGCTAGCTCTTCCTTTCCTCATAAACATTAACGGATATCAGCATGCAAACTATCATGTATACATAACATCAATCATAATGACAAGTAATCTAGGAACTCAGCTCTTATTTTAACATTTATTTATATTACACACTGTGGATATTTATAAACAACATTTTAAAAACACATTTTTATAAAACTATTTCCTGATTTTCCAGGAGATTAAAACTGTTAAGCCCTATAATACAGTGTAGCTTTAAAATGACTGACAGTAACGCTACAAAAGACTGTCGGCCATTTAATGTCTCACTGTAATAAAAAATACTTTTGAAAAGTAACAGTAAATATTAAAAAAAACTGCAGGGAGCGTTTGCTTTTAAAGTGATCGTAAGTGGAGACTGATATTCAAACATAGTAACCAATGAAATTTGCTAAATTTAACAAGAAAAAGGGTTTCATGGAAAAATAAATACACTTGACCAATAAAACTATATGAATCAACAGCTTGGATGGATTTTGAGTCCATGTACCTTCCAGTAAGGAAGGAATACATGAAAACGTGCAACAACGAGACTGGTGTGGCTCTGTACAAATAAAATGAAGCATAAAAGAGGAGATTTTAACTTGATAGATTTATAGTATTTATCAACTCGTTTGAAAAAGAAAATTAGGTGTAAATAAGAAGAGCAGAAAAGAAAATTAGAGAACTTGAGGGAATATTAATGGAAAAGACAGAGTACAGATGAAACTTTAAAAATAAATTACGAGTAAATCATAAATACTGTGCTCAATACATTGCTAAATCCCAAAGGTGATGACTTTATGAACTTATCCATGGTTTAATCTGTACAACAGTAATTGAATTTGTAAATTCATATAACCACATGTTTCATTGCTTGGGATAACATTTCTGTTCAAAAATGTTCTTTTCCATTTTGCCATTTAGAGAATAATGTCCTTGGTTCAGCGAAGGACTAGACTGAGTCTTCCTTAAGGAATTTTCATCATTTTCAAAGCTGAAGATAATTGCCTCAATTTTTTCCAGATCATCAGTTCCTGCCTTTAGTTTTGCCTTCAGTAGGTTAATATATGCTTCATATCTGCTTTTCTGTGGAGGGAAATTATCACTCAAGAGTAAGTTTACTATAGAGGGGAGAGTCCTCCTTCTAATTAAATCCCAAATAACAGAGAATCATTCATACAATTTATGAAGTCTTGACTTAAAAGCTGAAAAAGCAAAAACTATCTTCACGAAATTTGTTGATTATTACAATAGTTTAACAACTAAAATAGAATGATACGATACGCCAACTTTAGATTTTTCCCTGCAAATTGTATCAATTGTATAAATATTATCATTATGACCAGTTCTTGAAAAGATTTTTTTACTTATTTATTTAAAATTACCATGTTATTTCTTGTATAGCTTGAACAGAACAATATAGTTATGTCAAATGTAAAAAAAAGTTATTTTCCTTATTGAGTTCAATTTGCTTCTGCACGTGTATTTCCATCTGTCGAAGTTCATTTCACTGTTACTTGTCAGTTCTACTCACATTAAGTTCATCAATCATTTGTTGGGATATGTAAAAATCCCGTACTGACATTTGGCAGTTTGAAATGATCTATGCTACCTTGATGGAGTATTGCATGCCCAGAAAGGTACATAAAAATTGATAGCTTATTTGCTAAAAAAAGAAATATAACTGGGTGATGAATTAAGGACATGTTCAGCACCATTCCATTTTGTAGAGTTACACAGGTTCAATAAATCTATATATTATTAAGAACAGTGGGTTGAATCTTACTTACTTGGCTAAGTGCTAGTTTTGTTGAGTTTTTTGGAGGGATTCCTGTTGCGAGGCCTAGTGAGATTTGTCATATCATAGTATACTCACCTTATTAACTACCCACTCTGACCCTATAGTTCCTCATGTCCGATTCTAGGCCTGTCTTACCAAGCGTGTCTTCTAGTGTAATTCATCATTCAGTGGATATTTGCTAAAAGACTGGCATCCTTTGTGCATGTGCCCTCTTTAAAAGGCTGCTGTGCACCCGGACAAGTTGCCTTTCATCGGCAATGTAATGACACAGCATCCCAGAAGACACACTGCCAACGGCACATAGCCAGCATGGCTGGCATTCACTTGCACACCCTAGTCGTTTTGTAACCAAGAGGCCACACAATTTATCAGTTTGCAGTTACACTGGGTGTGAGTACTCTTTCTAAATGACTGCTACTCTGTCCCCAGTCCCCAGTGGACACCTATAACTGGTCATTATATAGTAGATGAACATCGCATACAGGCAAGCAATTGGACAATTCTAAAGGTGAGCTTTTATTTACAGCCATGAAAGTAGAGTACAAACAAAATGAAATGCTGGCATGATAACCAACAGCTACTTTACATTCCAGGGTAGTCTGCTACACCCAGCTCTCAGCTAACGGAAATATGTATTTATCTATCAACCTGTCGGCCTTGTTGCACCTGATGTAACTGAGGTCTGTCATGGACAAGGAGAGCTTCCTCCTTCCCAAAGTCCTTGTTCTCTAGCAGATCCCCCATTAGCCTTCTTTCCTACAAGGGTAACAGTTTCAACTCCTTCAATGCATGCTCATAACTGAACTTTCACATCCCTGGTGCAATTCTTGTAAGTCGCTTCTGTAATCTCTCCAATGTTATCCCATCCTTTCTATAATGTGGCAGAATTGTACTCAATATTCAAGCTGAGGTCTAATAAGTATCATGTACATATTCATCATCATCTTCTTCCTTTTGTAATCTATGCCCCATTACTTAGTGTTCTCTCCATCTGTCCAGCCACCTACAACAAACACTGTGAATGTTGGAGAAACTGAACAAATCTGACAGCATCTGTGGAGAAAGAAACACGTTTAAAGTTTCGAGTCCAGTATGGCTGCTCTTGTTCTGAAGAAGTATCACTCAACTTGAAATATTAAATCTGCTTCTCCATCCACAGACGCTGCCAGACCTCCTGAGTTTCTCCAGAATTCACTGTATTTGTTTCGGAACTCCAGCATCCACAATATTTTGCCTTTAGTCACCTTCAATGATCTGTATACAGATACACACAGGTCCTTCTGCTCATACATGCTGCTTTAGAATTAGACCACCTACTTTATATTGTTTTTCAATGTTCTTCCTACCAAAATCCATCACCTCACATTTCCCTTGATTGAAACGTATCTGTTACGTATCTGCCCACTGCACTAAATTGGAGAGATATAGTAGGAACTGCAGATGCTGGAGAATCTGAGATAACAATGTGTAGAGCTGGATGAACACAGCAGGCCAAGCAGCATCAGAGGAGCAGGAAGGCTGACGTTTCGGGCCTAGACCCTTTTTCAGAAACCTTCTTCAGAAATGGGGGAGGAGAAGGGGGTTCTGAAATAAATAGGGAGAGAGGGGGAGGCAAATAGAAGATGGATAGAGGAGAAGATAGGTGGAGAGGAGACAGACAGGTCAAAGAGGCGGGGATGGAGCCAGTAGGGGTGAGTTTAGGTGGGGAGGTAGGGAGGAGATAGGTCAGTCCAGGGAGGATGGACAGGTCAAGGGGGCGGGATGAGGTTAGTAGGTAGGAGATGGGGGTGCGGCTTGAGGTGGGAGGAGGGGATAGGTGGGAGGAAGGACAGGTTACGGAGGCGGGGACGTGCTGGGCTGGTTTTGGGATGCGGTAGGGGGAGGGGAGATTTTGAAGCTTGTGAAGTCCACATTGATACCATTGGGCTGCAGGGTTCCCAAGCGGAATATGAGTTGCTGTTCCTGCAACCTTCGGGTAACATTGTTGTGGCACTGCAGGAGGACCAGGATGGACATGTCGTCTGAGGAATGGGAGGGGGAGTTGAAATAGTTCGCGACTGGGAGGTGCAGTTGTTTAGTGCGAACCGAGCGTAGGTGTTCTGCAAAGTGGTCCCCAAGCCTCCGCTTGGTTTCCCCGATGTAGAGGAGGCCACAACAGGAACAGCGGATGCAGTATACCACATTGGCAGATGTGCAGGTGAACATCTGCTTGATGTGGAAAGTCTTCTTGGGGCCTGGGATGGAGGTGAGGAGGGAGGTGTAGGGGCAGGGGTAGCACTTCCTGCGGTTGCAGGGAAAAGTGCCGGGTGAGGTGGGGCTGGAGGGGAGTGTGGAGCGTACAAGGGAGTCATGGAGACGGTGGTCCCTCTGGAAAGCAGATAAGGGTGGGGAGGGAAAAATGTCTTTGGTGGTGGTCAGATTGCAGACGGCAGAAATGTCGGAGGATGATGCGTTGGATCTGGAGGTTGGTGGGGTGGTACGTGAGGACGACCTCGACCGTGTCTCCCGCATTTCCCGCAACTCATCCCTCACACCCCGTCCCCGCAATAACAACCAAAACAGAATCCCCCTCATCCTCACGTTCCACCCCACCAACCTCCGGATCCAACGCATCATCCTCCGACACTTCAGCCATCTGCAATCCGACCCCACCACCAAAGACATTTTTCCCTCCCCGCCCTTATCTGCTTTCTGGAGGGACCACTCTCTCTGTGACTCCCTTGTCCTCTCCACACTCCCCTCCAGCCCCACCTCATCCGGCACTTTTCCCTGCAACTGCAGGAAGTGCTACCCCTGCCCCTACACCTCCCCCCTCACCCTCATCCCCGGCCCCGAGAAGACTTTCCACATCAAGCAGATGTTCACCTGCACATCTGCTAATGTGGTATACTGCATCCGCTGTTCCTGTTGTGGCCTCCTCTACATCGGGGAAACCAAGAGGAGGCTTGGGGACCGCTTTGCAGAACATCTACGCTCGGTTCGCACTAAACAACTGCACCTCCCAGTCGCGAACTATTTCAACTCCCCCTCCCATTCCGCAGACGACATGTCCATCCTGGGCCTCCTGCAGTGCCACAACAATGCTACCCGAAGGTTGCAGGAACAGCAACTCATATTCCGCTTGGGAACCCTGCAGCCCAATGGTATCAATGTGGACTTCACAAGCTTCAAAATCTCCCCTCCCCCTACTGCATCCCAAAACCAGCCCAGCATGTCCCCGCCTCCCTAACCTGTCCTTCCTCCCACCTATCCCCTCCTCCTACCTCAAGCCCCACCCCCATCTCCTACCTACTAACCTCATCCAGCCCCCTTGACCTGTCCATCCTCCCTGGACTGACCTATCTCCTCCCTACCTCCCCACCTACACTCACCTTTACTGGCTCCATCCCCGCCTCTTTGACCTGTCTGTCTCCTCTCCACCTATCTTCTCTTCTATCCATCTTCTATTCACCTCCCCCTCTCTCACTATTTATTTCAGAACCCCCTTCCCCTCCCCCATTTCTGAAGAAGGGTCTAGGCTCAAACATCAGTCTTCCTGCTCCTCTGATTGTGCTTGGCCTGCTGTGTTCATCCAGCTCTACACCTTGTTATATCACTAAATTGGATATGTCTTTTTGGAATTCTATACTGTCTTCTTCACAGTTTACAATTCTTCCAAGTTTCCTGTTTTCTCAAAACTTTGAAATTGTCTCCTGCACACCAAGATCTAGATCATTAATATTTATCAGGAGAAGCAAGAGTCCAGATACTAACACCTGGGGAACTCCACCACAAACTTCCCTCCAGCCTGTAAAATATCCTTTGACCGTTAATCTCTATTTCCTATTATTCTGCCAAAGTTGCATCCATGCTGCTACTACTGCCCTTTTACACAAAGTAAAAAAAAGTAACATTCCCATAGTCCTACCGGACCATAGAACTGCTGTCTCATGAGTGAGACAACTAGTGGTGGGTTACCATACCTCAGCAGAGAGAAGTCCTGCATGGTAACTCAGCTGGTGCAGGAACTGAACCCACATTGGTTGCATCACAAACTAGCCATCCAGCCAGCTGAGCTAAACACTTCTGGTAACTGGAATCTCTGCTGGGAAAAGAATTTCAGGAGAGATTTGCAATTTCTTGATTGTCTTCTTTACTAACTCCTTAGGACTGTAAAAAGAAATACTTATTCCAGAAAGAGTTGCCAGTAAACTATTAGCACAGAGGCTTCCTAATTTTTTTCAAAACCAGTTTTACCAGTAAGTAAGGCAATAAACTCCATTTCTTATCTCCTTGAAAGCTCTGT